TTCTTTTAGAAACAAATTATGCTCGATAACTCACACAAAATATGATGACGCCGTTTCTTAACGTAATTAAACTTTTAAAATGTATTATTAATAAGATTATTATCGTTCGAGTAAGGTTAGGTTTTGATCAATCGATTGAACGATGTTGGCCTTGTCGTAAGACCGAACATCTGAAGAAGAGCTGCCTCGGTAACCGTTGTTTTGTTTTAATTGGCGCCCCTTCGCGTGGAAGATACTATATATTGTTGGGGAAATATATTATTCACAATCGCTGGATATTGTTCGACGAAAACGAATATTACAATAGTTATTATCATCAAGGTACCGTCAAATTGGAAAAACGACAATGGCTACAAGGGCGGAGACAATAATTGATCGGCCGCCAATTAAGGAGTTCATTAAGCGGCAATAACTGGCACAAAGATATAAATAATTTTTTTTACATTGCTTGCCAATTAACCGTCTCCCCGTCGCTTACGCGGCCGACCATACCTACTTTATTTTTTTGGTCCTATTGCTTTCATCGTCTCCCACGACGTCAGTGAATTATTATAATAATTGCGTTTTCGCCGACGACCTGTATACACACCGTGACAAGTAAACCGACTGCAAAACACAGACAACGTGTCGTCGTCGTCGTCGGACACAACAAAAAAGGGTGCAAGGGATCTTGCAAATGATTTTGCGGCTCACGGGACCATGACACACACACACGTCCAATGCTAGAACATTATATTATTTTGTGTATAGCAATAGCGACCTACACCGAGAGGAGACAGCGGAGTCGGTTGGTGGTCGTCTGCGGGTCTGTATTATATCCTACGGTACGCTGATGAGGAAGGCTTAGTCACGCCAAACGCCGCCGTGTATGTGTGTGTGTGGTATTACATTATAGGAGTCACCACCATTAATTTTAATAGCAGTATCAACTTTAAATTGTGTGATTGTGTGTGTATGTATGTATGTATGTATGGACCCTTATATGCCAATTATAACTAACTGCCACCCCAGGGAACGCGGCGACAGTGTTGCAAAGGTGTAGCAAAGTGTCGAGGGGTTAGGGTTTGCTGCGCTTTCCTTCCGGTCTATCTATCTCTCTCTCTCCAAGGCAACGGTGTGTTCGTCGGATGACCATAACAAACGACAATCGATGCATTATTTCTGCGTCTTGTTTCCACGCCACCGAGTCCATCGTCGGCGATTATTATACGAGACCCGTAATTGGACGCTTTTCTCGGCCAAGGGCTTTATGGTAATCAAAATCCACTTGCTTGATAATAAATATTAATAGTATCGCGCCGTCTAAATGACTTTGTACATGATTATCGGCAACCTAGACCAGCTAACAAGCAATCTAACCCGGAACAGCTAACAAGCAATCTAACCCGGGCCAGCTATTTTTATAATTATTGCACTATTCACTAGTATGAACGATTACACTTTTATTTGGATTGTCATTTTAATTCGTTCATCCGAAAACCGAAAACACAATGTTGATTAAATCAAGGTTCTGCAATTAACTCGTGACATTCGATACAGGGTTTAGAATTTCTACAAACGCGACGTTTTGCTTTAATACATTTTTTTTTTAGTAAACTTGATATTCAATAATTGATTTCTGCAATTTTGTACGAACCGTAAGTGGTATCAGTTACGTAATATTATTCATAAATATGATTATGTGTACAGTTTCAGTCAGACCGATCGGATTTCAATTTGTTATTCGCCCTATTGTGGGTTTAATACTAAAAAAAATGCTGCGTTAAGTAATCGCTAAAGGCTATCTGGGTGTGAAAACATACAACCAGATACATATTATACGCGTGCACGAATTAGTTGGAATATCGAGTGGCCGCGTTTAATTATGTTTCTCGGTAATAGCTATACGAATTTCCGTCTTAGAGAGGAACGAACATCTTTTGCGATCATCCATATTTTTTTGTATATTATAATCATAAAATAACAAGAAAATGAAGCGAGGTAATAAAAAACGATCAACAGACACAACAGTATGGAAATCACAACACGTCCGAATACTGCCAACCGTACGGGAAATAGATTGGAAAGCTCAGTAAGTATTCGTCCGAGTATAAAATCAAATGAACGAGTAACGATGATATGGAAACGGCGTACAAGGTTTTCCAGGTTTTCCACTTGTCGAGGTTGAAACGAGTTAGCCAGCTTTTTCCTAGTGTTTTAGCAGACGTCACTTTGGATTCTTGTAACTCTTCGACGTTGCGGAGGTCAGACGACGCGTCTGGAACGATTAACACTGGGAAGCAGTTGAATTTCTGGAATTATATCATTTAAATTGATTAGCTTCTAAGTAGGACTTTATACACTCATCGCCCTATCTTTGTTCACTCCATCAGACACATTTGTGCTGGCTCATTCCCACTTATAGATCTTCTACCTCTAAATAGCTCCATTCAAATCGTTCCTACCTGTTTTATTATTTTATTGTCTACCTTTGTTGAACATGGCCGAACCACATAGTCAACCATTCATTGCGCTATTGGCGCACGTTCCACACACCTGACACTACAGTTTCAAAAAATGTTCTTTTCCCCATAATGACTCTTTTTTTTCATTTTATACTTCATTCTATGGTCTACCGACTCAGAGCACTTAAGCCTCGGTTCTCCTACGGCTCCATGCCTAAACTTCAACAAGTATTATCGAATGGTAATGCGGGTGTCGTTGAATCATAATTACCGGCATTTGATTTACAGTAAAAGTCTCGTATTCTATGTCATCCGCTTTAAGTACTGTGTCGCTGGATGGTTTTGTTTGTAATCCAGAAAATGTTTTTCGATAGAAAACCCTATCATTGTCTTGTAACACGCTTTGGATAGTCTCTTCGCTTGAGGTTTCGTCAAACATTGGCGAATGGATACGCCTATAAGGATGAACCATTCCACGACTAGCTATTGTTATCATCCTAAACGAGTCATTGTGCTTGAGAAGCGGTTGGTCGTTTGTTACAATATCATTAATGTCCAATTTGTCGGACAGCATCAAATCTTCTGAAGACAATCCTAAACAATAAAATACATCAAACATTTGTTGGATTAATGAAAAAAAACGGGCTGGTTTATTTTGCCAACTCTGGCTTGTTAATGCGGATGATTACTGTAAGTTTGCTATCATACTTCTGTCCTTTGGAGTGTCCTTTCTCGAGTTTTGATTAGAACTTGTTCCAGGGGTTCCTTCGGCGCTTTTGATAATTGACTCGAGTCTGCTCGATACAGTAGACCTAGACGACGGTTTACTTTGCTCGTCATCGTGGGTTGGTGAAGTCTGTTTGTTTTCTCGACGCGCTGCAGACCATTTGCGTAGCGCCGAACTTGGACTTAACTTGCTGGACATGGGAATTCTGGACACTTCAGTCTCCTTAGGTTCTGCTAAATGTCATACAGGTAACGTCATGTACTTGTACATGTTTTATGGACATTTTGGCGACAGGTTAGTCATTATCGTTTAAACCGTGTGACACCCAAGACGGTTCACGGCCTCGGTCTAACGGTAAGTTCTGTTTTTTCAGGGAGGTGATTAAAAAAAAAGTCGAGTACCTCGGGTACAACAAGAATACTTACTTGACAATTAGACGTTTTAAATACATTTTTTTATTCTACGATCTCGAGAAAATATACACCCAATTGGGAAGACTTAATTCAAGGTTTTTGGCCTTTCACATTAAGCGCTGTCGGCTGTTTCGCTGTACTTATACTATACGCGTTAAATACACGGCAAATCTATTGTTACCCTTTAGTATAGGTTTGGTCGATTTTTTCGGATGACATCTGACGGGCTCGATTTTTTTTAATGTAACCGAACACGTTTGTTTGTCGTGGGTTTTTTCATTAAAAACAGGACTTCCCGGCGAATACTTCATGGCTACGGCGTTGATGGTTAAAAACTTAGTCTTACGGACAAAATCCAGAGTAGATTTCAATACATATAATCATAGTACTGGCGTTACTATAGGCAACCGCATATCCGGGTAGGTAACTAACTCGTGTTTTGGACATGATCATTTTTTTACTATACCTACCAAACGAGCCGTCGGTAACACATTTAATATTACTATGTATATGAAAAATTCAACTTCCAACCATCGACGCATAATATTCGATTAATAATACTTTTTCAAAATAACTACTTCTGCTTTAGAATGTCGGAATATGATTTTGTTGATTTCTTCTATTTATTAATTTTCTTATTCTAGTGTTTAAAAATTAACGTTGTTGTCTCCTATCACAATATAAGTCCCCCCGGAGCACTACGCCGCCATTGGGATTTTGTTGTTGTTTTTTTTGTATGTTCAAATTACACACCCAACTAATTCCCGGCGGACTTGCTTTACAACATGTAATGTGTACAAAAAAAAACTTTATAATAATAGTAATAACCGCTAATGTTTATGTATGAACACATGTGTCCACGTTGTATGGGGTTGGGGCAACACGAGGGGTCAACGTGCAGGGGTTGACTTGTATATACATAATATATTGTACTTTACAGCGTTTATAAGCATATAAATTTACAATGCTGAAGCAACGGCAGCGTCAACATTTTTAAGAAATGTTGAAACTATATATTCTGTGCAGTACTCAAAAACTATCATAGAACCATTTGTGTGAACAATAATTATTTTTATAAAATATTGATAACGATGAGAAATAATAATACACGCAATTTGTTTTTTTTAAAGTATTTCTTTGTAATATTATATTATGTATATCGCCATCGCGAATCAAATGTATAAATATTACAGAATTTTACTATAATATATGTTTAATAATTATTATAAACAACATTATCACTGTACACATAATAATATAATAATAATATGATGGTTTGTATTATAATTATTCAAGTATAATATAATGTATACCTATTATAATTGTTTACATAACGAATAATGTACATTGGCATTTTTTATAATATAATAATAATATATATGTAGCAATGAAAAAAAATAAACAAAATCAGCCTTCTATAGCTTTCTAATGCGCTAAGAGTATATAACTACAAACATCTAATAAAAAATAAACCACAAACTTAATTCCATAAAGGATTATAATTTGTGTGTGTGTAAAACACACATAAGTACATAACGGTTGTATAAGTGATTAAATAATAATTATTATTTTGGGTAAAGATATTTTTACAGGTTTGGTCATTCGTTATAGTCCAGGACAATATTAGATAAATGTCGACTGAGTATAATTTTTGTATTAAGACATACACATTGAAGTTTTTTTCTGTTTGATGTGCAATTTCTCATTTGGTCTAAAACTATAGTGTTTAGGATATTCATTCGAACCTAATGCCTACACTGAACCAACTAAAATGTTTTGTAAAATTGCTATAATGAACATTTTTCATAACTACAGGAAAATATTTTTGGTACAACGGTCACAAATTATTAATTTAACAAAAAGAATTTACGCATAAGACAAAAAAGTCGTCGATGTTGAATGGTTTGTTTATACTTTATGATAAAATAGGGTTATCTTAAAATATTAATGGCTTTTTCGAGATACTGTTATCGTTAATACTAACTTATCATCAGGGTACATTAACCGGTATTTTTTTCTCTAAATTTAACTAGACAGGCCTACTTCAGTCCTTATCTGTTTGCTTCACATCAAAACTCCAATAGCCATGTCTAGGCCATGTCATGCGACCTTGGCGGTCGCTTAAAACACGTTTTTTCCTTTAATCCACTAATCATACTTTAATCTTTAATCTACTTGGGATAAACTATATTAATACAATAAATACAATAGTGTAATAATGTATCAAACTTTTATCATTAACATTAATAATAAAAATCGAATATTGTGTATGAGATCCAGATCAGCACGGTTGGGCTGCGGGCGGCCAAAGATGGGCATTACGACGGCGGGTGGTGCCCGATGGTGGAGTGATGGGCGCCGAGGTGGTGAAAGTAGGCGGCGGCGGCTGCGGCCGAATAGCTTTGGGTCTGGTAGTGGTGCGCGGCCGAGTAGGCGAGCGGGTGAAAGAAGGGCGGCCCGCCGCCGCCGGCCGACGGCCCGGACGACCCGGGCGGCGGCGGCACGGTCGGACTGTTGACGTCCAGCCCAGGGTTCTGCTTCTTCCACTTGGTCCGCCGGTTCTGGAACCATATCTTCACTTGGGTTTCGGTCAGCGACAGCGACAGCGCCAGGTTCAGTCGTTCGCACACCGACAGGTACCGGGTGGTCTTGAACTTGTTCTCGAGCGCCACCAGCTGTTCGTACGTGAACGCCGTCCGCGCCCGCCTCGGTTTGCCGCCACCGCCACCGCCGCCGTTCTTGGAACTACTTCCGCCGCCGCAGTGATCCGTTTTCGACTTCTTCGGTCCACCCGTCGACGAACTGCCGTCGGCGCTGCACTTGTCCCGGTCGTCGCTTACGTCGCTACCGCAGCCGTCGCCGCTTACGCTGATGTCGTCGTCGTCGTCGTCCATGTAATTCCGCGAACAGTCTTCGCCTGTCAAAACACAAACAAGACATATAAAATACATATTTATCGTATAGCTAACTGCGGAAAAGGAACAAGTCATAACATCTTATGTGGGCAAAGATAAAAGATAATATGGCTACAGTTTATCTGGATACAGATAATAGATAACTACTTTGTATGTAGTCTAATAACAAAATACTAATTGAATAATAATAAAAACAATATTTTTTTATTGTTAATTTAGTACTTAATGTTGTGTTGTAATATGCGTTTGTATATATATATTTTTTTTTTAGTTTTTCTGATAAATCTAGCTTATTTCCAACAACTATATCGAAAATAGTTCTTTTAACTCTATTAGAAAAATTCGTAAGCTTTCCACAAACATACAACAAAATCATGTCAATTATTGTCTCACCTTTTCTCCTGGATGAATAGCTCTTTCCGTTCCCCTAACCATGTTAAGACACGTCATGGCCCACCTCCAGCCAACTACACCTCAACCGATCTTCCACCTCCGGTAAGAAGTTATACAGAGGCCTACCCTTTACTGACTCTGTCCAGCGGGTCTGCCAACTTCTCACCGCCTCCAATTCCAGCTCCCTCACTTCCTCTACCGAGCCGTTCCTCCTACTTTTACTTTTCATTTTTAAAATAATGTTTGCACGAATGCCATTTTTTTATCAATTTTCAATAATACTAAATCATTTTTGATGATAGTAAAATAATAATAATTTGTTACGCATTCATCATGTCTCTTACAAAAGTTACTAGGTATACAGTTACAATTTATACCATTAATTAGCGATATAGTGAATACACGTAAAGACTGTAACGGAGTTTTTTTATGCTTAGTCCAATTAAGTCAATCAAAATAGCTAATATATTCATTTATCTTATCAAAAGTAAAATATAATATATCATACCCATAAATATAATATTATATTATACAACTAAATACCCTAAGTTATATATTATAGGTGTTTTTTTTCTTAGGCACTCAATTAGATTTTCTTTTGATGTTTCTTTGGAATCCAAGCACAATGCTAATGTATTTGCCACTTTAAACGACAATCAAAAACGATTCTATTCAATAATGGCATTTCCCTTGAAATCCAATTTCGATTTCTCCGAAAATTCATTACAAGTCCAACAGAACTGAATTAACTCGGTTTTCGGGAAATCATATTATTGTGTTAACTTGTTGGTGCATTACCGCGCTTTTGCCACAATACCGCGCTCTCATTATCGTCGTTGCTCATCAATATTATGTTGTATCGTTCGATCAACCGCAAGCACTTGAGTTCGGTTTCAAAGAATCACATAAATAAGACTTGAGGGCGGTATTCTATGCGGGGATTGTTGGCATAATATTAAAATTCAGTTACACGTTAGTTCATCTGTAATGTGTTATCACCATTAACCATCGTTAATTAACTACTTTTTATCAGTTTACGTTATTATTGTAAATGATGTGTACAGTATTTTCGGCACTATGATTTGGACCTACTGCATTGAGTTCACACCAATCAAAACCCGTTATTTGAAAATCTACTGTTTAACTACATGAAGTGCACTATCTGGGTTTTGCCTAATCTGTGCTTAAGCCGTGAGAGCTACCTATATGTTTATTCCCAGTACAAACGATTATGATGATATTATTATTATAACGACGCGATGGCGATACGGTTGAATGGACGATCATCAACGGCCGTCGTCAGGGTAACGCCATGGTGTCAAGACGTCCTCCTTTACCTGCGATAAATATTATTATGGTGTTTAACGAGGGTAAGGGTAGAGAGACGGGGCGGCGCTCCGAGCAATCCGTATAAATATGACGTTATTTTGCACGACTATATTATTATATTAATGTTTATCCACGAGACAAACTATATTAAATAGGTAAAGAGGGTCGGTCATGTTCGAAGGTCATCGTGGGGAAATTGAATTTTTTCCATCGCCTTCCGTCCTACCGGTTGGAAGGTATCGTAACAATTATTATTGTCGCCTCGGCGGTTTGAAAATATTATTATTATTATATATTTTTTTGTGTTTCTTCTTCACGGAATTAATGGCGGCGGCAAGTCGGATATTATATTATTCCGTGTGTAGGTAAACACAATTATTATTATTATATTATCCCCAACATGGAGGGGGACCCGGTAGCCATGGAGACGTTATCGCTTGTTTACACAGTCTCTTTTGTTTTTCCCGGTTGGTTATATTTATAAAGTAACAATAATAATATTATGTCCTCTAACCGACGACGTTACTTTTACACGGTATAGCCTTTTTCGAAAAACACATCGCCAAATTCGCCCCTTTACCCCCTCCCCTACATACCACCATCGACCTTTGCCCGTGCCAAGTTGGTACATACAACGGCGAAACGCACATTTTAAAATCAAAAGCCTCGTCCGGCCGGGTAATTGAAATAATAACTATAGGTGGTACTATTAGGTCGTAGGAGGTCTTATGATATAGCAAGCTTGAGCGTGTGAGGACGATATTAATTTGATTGTACAACGGTAAAGTGTGGAAACCACAAAGTCCACAATAATATTATACCCGAATGAATGCTCACAAGAATGGCGTTTGAAACCCATTGCTTATTGATTTTATGTCGAGTCAATAACAGCAGCGGTTTTTCCGACAATAAACAATATTGCAAAAGTAATAATTGTTGACTTAAGGTCAGTACAAGTACAACCGTTTCGAAACATGAGTCACGGTCTTATTTTTTGCCCGGTAGTTGTAAAAATAAACAAAACCGTTTGGAGATTTGTATTGTTTTACAAGAATCCGTCGACAGTGCGCTTATACGGTGTACCTACTATAAAATGTATTCAACTATAAAAACGACCATATTGATATTGTATTATGTACATTGAGTCTGAGGCTAAATGGACCAGTCTAGATTTTTTGACAAAACGAGCTGGTATCTAATTTTAGTATAAAATTTACAAACAATTATTATTTAATATGCTTAACGTAGCCCAAAGAACAAAAAAATGTAACCCTCTCTACCATACACCAAAACCTTTTAATAATTTTAAAATGCCAATAATATGTCTTTAATATGTCATAGCAACGTTTTAGGTGTGAAATTTAATGTTTCAAAAATTGTATGGGAAATATTCGCAATACTTAAATCGTACTAATAGTATATAAGTAATATTTTTTAAATATAATTTTTTTAAGCCATTTGAATTTCGCGCCAAACCGTCTTTTAAAACACATTGAAAACATGTAAGTCTTATTTTTGCCAATGTAAGGCGACTTGCTCGCAAAAAATTACTTTGTTGACCGGTAACGGTCTATAAAAAGATTACAAACGCGTTTCTTTGTTTAAGGTGTATTTTTAGTGAAAGAAAAATTAAGGTCGACCATGACACAAGTAAAACAAGCATAAATCCAACCTAGCGGCGCGACGTCAATTAATTGATTATTATACTTCAACACAATAAAAGCTTTACTAGAGACGCAATATACTTGGTCCGACTCCATTGCACTGGTGACTAAATATATACATATTATTATTATACTTGGGTTTAAATACACTTTGTGCTGGTGACGGACCATATAATTATACTAATGTTGTTTTCGCCGTGCATTGTGCACATAAACACATTACACAATCGAATGTATTTTAAAAAAATTATAATTGGCCACGACAACGACAATATTTGCTCATGCAAATGTACACCGGATGAATTTGTTGATATTTAATAGTATTAAAATGTAACTGTAAAAAAAGCCGTTTTAGTGAAATCACTATAGCGCATGCATGATTATAAACAAAATTAGTGCTACATTTATTTTTATATAAACAAGTCGCTTAGTAAAAAAATTAGTGTAGCAATTATGAAAAGCGCTAATTTGAAGTTTAGATCCCTGATCTCCACCAACAATCAGATTCCGAGTCCAGGAAATTTTAAGATTATTCACCATGGACATATGCCACTATACTGATCACCGGAAATCTATCAAAGTTTTTGACGATTATTTTACTGTCATATTACACTATACAACGGTATGAGTGGGTATAGGTAATACTGCCAGATTCGGGATTACCCTATGGCTGTATTGGAGTTTCTGGCGTCGATGATAATGATAAATAATAATAGTTTCGGCGGCCTTTGGTTATTGTGCCGCTTGGGGTATTGTTCGCGGATCGCTCGCAGTATAAAAGGGCCAGAGCTTTTTATGGGACAATCGTATAACACGGTCCGGGGATCAGCGGCGGCTTAACTTTCAATTGCGCTTTGATAGCGCGCAAAGCTTATCTCGCCCACATAATAATAATAATAATATAAATACCGCTAACCCGGCCGTTTCGCCCACCCCTTATCCCGCACCTCCCCGGTGGTGCAATATAGCGGCCCTTCCCCCCTTCGATTCCGCGTGCTTTCTCGAGCCACTCTACCGACGACGGCAATTAATTTCACGGCCTGTAATTTGGATTTTATACACATTATATGTATATTATATATTACACACACCAGCTCTACATACTCTGCCCGTCTCTTCTATCGCATCACTTACACCTTCCACACATACATACTTCCTGGCGCACTATCCGTTTACAATAATTTCCCGTCTTAATAACAACATAAACGATAAAAACAACTCGAGCGGTGTGTGTGTGTGTGTATCTAAGAGGAAATAATAGTATACCTTCACACTTGCTATGGTTACAATAATATGCCAATACGATAATAATAATAATACAATATAATACACACGACGATGCGTTATCGCGTCACGCTTGGACAATTTATGCTAATACGGATAAAGCAATTATTATAACAGTAATAGTGATTATTGCATTATATTATCACTTTAAACGGATCAACGATGAAATCTTTATTTCCTTCGTTACCCGTACAGGGTACAGTCATCACCTACAAACAGACTAGCTAATATTATACTATATCGTTGTGAATTATTTAACATGGACTTGTAAAATAATATATTTTCAAATAAAGAGTTTTGATTGCTTTAAACTCAATGCAGTAGGGCCAAATTATAGTGCCGAAAATATTGTACACACTATTTACAATAATAACGTAAACTGATAAGAAATACTGTTAATAAGTATAGTTGATTGAGTATGGTTGAAGGTGATAACTGATAACATTACAAATGTGCGATCAAATTATTTTGACCACAATATCAAACAGAAGGATAATTTACTTTTATTTTTTGGTCACACTGACCTGAGATTATTAAATTATGTGTACTTTTCTTGATTTTTGTGGAGTGCGCTATCTGGTTTTATTTAATCGGTGGTTTTAGCCGGTAAAAATGGTACACAAACAACTGATTTCGTACAATTTTACATTGTAAATGCCTATTGTATTTAATTAAATTATAAGATCTCCGTTGAATACAATTATTCAGAGGCTCGATTAGGAGTAAATTTAATTCACGGGGTTCGACTGTGTATATCTTTCGGCATACAAACCGTGGGTATAAACGTTTACCGGACCTGTATGTTCAAAAGGAAATATAAAAGTGGGTTTCTCCTCAAACCCACCAACAACCGTAATTATGTTTACCTATTCCAAAGGTAGGTTATGTTTATTTATAAAGATTCTATTCGTTATATTCGAACAACAAGGTGAAAATGATACATTATATAACAATTAAGTTCAACTGAACAAAAGTGTTTAAAATAAGAAGAATTCAGTATCGAAATATTATAATATTTTTTAATCCTTAAATACTTTGGAAAAATATCTAAGTACAACTTTTGCATTTTTTCTATTTTCAACGGTAAAGCGCTGCTTTGGCAATCTTTATTATTTCATAATTTTTTTTTTGACACTAGTAACATCTCAGACAGCAAAGTATAAAATGTATATTATACATTTTATACATTTTTAGACTATTACATACAAGTGGTACAAGGTTGTAAACCCTTATTAAGCACTGTAAAAGACAAGTACATTCATCGTAAATTTATTTTTTTGGACTTGGGTGCAAAACTATAAACTTATGAGAGGTATTTAATGATTTTCCGCGTTGATGAACACACCGCCAGTTGGAATCGCTTATAGGACTCGGCGCTAATGTATGAATGCATTATTTAGGTACAGTAACAATAATTATTATTTATTATTATGAGTGTACAAAACGGATCTCGTTTATAATTATTATGGTCGAACACAGGCGGTTTCTTTCATCTGTTCCCGCTGTGTATATTATGATATAAATGAACCCGTGTAAATGTTAGTGATACAGGGCGACGGTGTGTGAGTGTGTACAAACGAGACACCGCGGTTTTGTGTAACGGCCAAACGTCTTAATTAACTAGGATGTTGATGTAAACATGTCGCTGGAGACATGCAACTGTGAGATTTTTCAAGTCGGGCAGATCACCCGGGGACGGACGTGAACCTTTCTTATTATTATAAGTGTTCGAGACGTTTTAATAAGAGGCCGACGTCCGAACCGAACACGTGTAAAAAAAAAAAAAATAATAATAATATTATCGCCAAAAAGGCTTTCGGCCAAAACAGCTTTTCTTCTTTGGTTATAAGGGCCACAATTATTATTTTACTATCGATTCGAGTGATTCTTGAGCTATGTATAGGTACTGCGTTCATCGTGGCGGACACAACAAAATAATATGTGGTCGGCTAATAATCCAAACCGGAATAGGTTAATATAATTTTACTATTTTCTCGTTTAAAATAATATGTTTTTGTAATCAACACACAGGTGTAAAAAGCATAATAGTATTTGTATTTTAAAATTGTTTTCTTTTATTTGCGGTTTCACCATTTTCTTGTTCAGAATTTCTTTTTAGGTATCAATAGGCCCCCATTACTGATCCGCTCTATATGAATTTTTTTTTGATATTGCAGATTTTATTGCAGTTTTGGTGGGTTAGCGGTGCGGTTAAGTTGTATAACATATATTATTATGTTTTATATAATATGACGCATTTACAACGGCGTCCGGCCGGCATCTGCTTTACAGCTATGACAATTTAAAAGCTATATGCGAGTGTTGCGCTAAAATAATTTCGGTCGGGCCGCGGCAAAACCGTTTTTCTGAAGATTGCGAACCGACAAATAGGAACTTAAATCGGACCCGGGTGTAAGCAATATAAAATAATGGCGGCGGCCGGGCTTATATAAATATATATATAGAGCGCAAACGACGGGGTTTCACAAATCCCAAGTCTTATCCCGTTTGTCCGTGGGCTTAGTGGGGAGGAAGGGATGGACGCGGCGGAAGGGCAAAACGTTAACTGACGTTTAAAAGACGCCAATAAAATCGCCGAGGGTCTTAAACCACTGTTGTCAAAACAGTAAAGTGCTTAAGGGAATTTAAATGGAAAATTAAAACCGAATTACCGCGCGCGCCCCCGTGCTTACAGGCTTTTTCTGTTAGCCGGGGATTCGAAAATAATAATCAGCAAACCGGGGGTGGGCGGGGGGATGGGGGGGAGGCTTGCGGAGACGGTTCAGATTTCTATACGGTCCGTGCAAAGGGTCAGGCTGTGTGTAATTGGTAAATGTGTGCAGTCAAAATACCGTCTCGGTTCCGTACGACGCGCGGTCGAGTTGAAAATCAGAATATTCACCGCGTGTATAGAATAAGCGTTTTACTTAAATACATACACGGTCAAATAATAAATAAATAATAATTACTTAAAAAGTTACAAAAGCAATTGGGAAAATTACTATGATTGCTTGACCGAAGTGCCGAGTACACGCAATATCGTTTTTCGGTTCAACCATTTCAATTAATTTTTTCTCGAAAATCAGATTAAAAACTTTATTTCTTCCTGTTGTTTCCCCTCGAAACAGATAAAGAAATAGAGGATTTTCTCGTTTTTTTTTTTTTACCAGCGCCATTTATACTTAAACGGGAATTAACATCGAGCCCTTAAGAGCTGTTATTTAACTTTCTAAGTTTTGAACTCGCAAACTTTTTAACAATTTGTTCGTTCGTTATACCGGACCAATGTTAATTATTTTATTATAAATTAAATTCATTAAGGATTCGTTTTTTTCTTACTTCAATTATCGTAAGCTTTTCTGAACAAAAAAATAATAATAAAATGATCTAAAGTGTACGAAATTGATTATATTTATTATTATTATGATCTATTTAAATTGTGGAGTTATTGAAAAGATTCGAATACCTACCATTATGAGGTTGTTGCTTAGATGTTTTTATTGATATAATAGGTGTGATAGTTGAGTGTTGACAGTCCTCAATCGTAATACTGTAAATATACTATTTATATTTTTAAGTTATTAAATCATATAGCATCTTTAATTTTTTTCTGACTGCGGAAGAAGAAGGTTAATTTGGTGTATTATTTATTTAATTAGCATTTGAAACACATACAAATTAGAGAGCAAAAATGATTTACACTGCGCTAGACGCTTTTTTTGTTTTTTAATTTTTTATATTTTGTGTTGTTGAGAAAAACTATGCCCTGTTGGAAATTAATATATTTGGAAATTATGGTTTTTATTAGATTCTTTATTATACATTTAAATATTGAAATTTTTTGAAATTTTTTTTTTACAGAACTTATGAGGAGAAACTGTTAATCATATTACATCCCTTCTATTATAAGTGTATTATAAATTATACTAAGAACAATATTTTTGTGACAATGAACGACCATAAATATAAATATTTAAGTTGCAAACGTAATGCTGGGCCTAAATGGTCCGATAAGCAATTCTGTGACATAAATAATTGTCCATTGCGAGCACTAAAATTTACTATTCAATTTTAATACAATGATAATTGTCGATCAAACTTACCGGCAACAGAAATGTCCGGGTAGTCGACACGTGGCCTCCATCTGGGTATGATTGGCGTCGATAGTTTCCTGGTGAACTTGTTCGGGTCGAGTATGTTTTCCACGGAAAAGGCCAAGCCCTTGTTGGGTACTTGTTGGGTGCCGAAATGCTGCGAACCCAGTGGCCCGACGCCCAGTTCGGCCGGAGCCGTTGTGGACGCGAGGCCGGCCATGGCGGGGTTGTGCTCGTGCAACCGGTTGTTGGTCAAATCCACCGGGTCCTCGTCCACGTTCAGCACGTAGTCATCGTCCGAGCTCAGCCTGTCCTCGGCCGGTGCCACGTGCGGCGTGGACGACGCGACGGCCGATTCGTCGCTGGCCGCCGGCGACAATAATTGCTGCAAGGACGGTGGCCGAGACGGCGGCGCCGCGACTTCGGGTTCTACGTCGGCCGCTATTGTCGCGGCGCAGACGGCGGGTTTTGAGAACGGACTGGCCGAATGGTGGCGGATGCCGTTCAGCCTGTTCTCGTCCCCGTAACCCGCCGCGTTAACGCTACCGCTGGTGTTGTTGTTGTTATTGTTATTGTTGTTGTTGTTGTTCTGAATCAATCGCTGCATCATCATCATAGTCATCATTGCACTGACGCGTATTTATATTTTTTATATTATATTGTATATTTTAATATTGGTATTGTCATTGTTCGGGAGACGGAAAAACGCATAGGTACGACGCACGGGAAAATAATTCGTTTTGGAGCGATCACGACCACGGCGTTCGTATGGCGATAACGATCGGCAGCACGTGAGTAAAAGGCGTCGCGCGGCAGCCGGTGTTCGGGACTGGTGTGCCGCCGAAACAGCATCCGCGGTGCGAAGGGACCGCGCGCTGGGCGTGCACCGGACGATTGGTCGGCGGCCGATTTGGAGGCGTGGCCGAGGGAGTTTTTTTTTTTTCAACCGTGTCCGTTGACGTTCGGCGTAACGCTATTACCGCGGCCGGGCGTTGATCAACAATCGGCCCGTCCCGTGCCTTCCCCTCGCCGACTATACGCGCGCATCCCTTCCCCTCGCGGTCCGGCCGTGACGCCCGATCGTTTAACCGCGCGCGAACACACCGACCACCGCACCGGTCCTATCTCACTCTACCTCGAAATGCTTGTGCAGCAGATAAAGATAATTGAGCCGACCTTAATTTCGCACGTTTACTTAAACCCGGTCATATAATAATCATTAGCCGGTTTTCGCCAGCAAACCGCCGCCGCTGCCGCTATACCGCACCGGTCAATAAATCACCGCCGCAAGCGACACCGGATTTTTACATAATATATTATTGGACAGCTCGTTTCGGGTGTAAAAAAAAAAAGGGAAAAAATGTCTTCCCTTTTTCGGGAATTCATATAACATTTTATTTTTAGCTTCGAGATAGCGTGTACAATAATTATTGTTACTACAATGATGTGTTTTTTTTTTAAAAAATACAAATTATTGTTACTACAATGATGTGTTTTTTTTTTTAAAAATACAATTTTTTAACGGGAAAAAATACTTAGTTGGTCCAATAAAAATATGATTCATATATATTATGATTGTTTAGTTGGGTCAACTATTTATTTAGTTATTCCGACTAGAAATTTGTTGTAGGTAACCATAATTTTTAAACCTAAAAAATATCAAATAGTACGAATTTCGATAACAAACACATTTGACATTTAATTATTTGTATTTGATCGAAGAGTTATTTCAAAGTGTTTTAATAGCATTCAATTCCCGAATATGCCACCACTTTTAATTTGATTTCTTCCTTAAAAAATACTAGGCCTAATACAAATATATTTTACCAGACATCTAAGAGTAATTAACTGTATAATACCGCTTATTCACGTTTTCATTAAGACGCACAATATTTAAACATCCTAAGTAATTGCGAATGGCACAACATTTTAGTAGATTCGTTATCTAACACAAAAGTTTGAATTCTACGATATTTGGATTAACATAGATAATTTCAAAAATAGTTAAAATTTGGTCTTACATTTAGGTACCTATTATATATATATATAACGTAAGGCGTTGCTCGGCAAACGCGTCAAACAAACACCGGAACCACACATATTTTTTAAACGTTTTTTTTTGTTTTAAATTTTACTGTCGTTATATTTTATAACCTGACCTAACCGGTAGTTGGTTATTATTATTGATATAGCGAAAAATTACTAGTATACACATTAAAAATTCGCCAATTGTATTTTAGCGTCATGTCTGCCGGTCAAAACTTCGGGGAAGGCAAGTCGGCACCTCTAATCGAAGTGTCGACCATCTTTTCAAAAAAGTCTAACGATTCCGATTCCACGATATCGTACAAGAGCTGCGGGGCTCTTGATGACGTCTACTATGATGGTCGTCCATCGGTCAAAGCGTTAGCGCGAAAGATCAACGAAAATTACAAGTCTTCGGAAGTTTTTGGATCTTCCAAAATGAGCAAAGAAAATAATTATTGCGGTCATAGCGGCGACAGGGCCGAGTCCAAAATTCTGTCGGATACTGACGGCGATTTTGTAAGCCAATTGCGGTATATAATAATAATATAATAGCATTATAGTACAAACAACGTTAACATATGTTATTATTATAATGTAACATCACTTGGGCAAATATACGACTTGTGGTCCCTGATTTTTACATGTACAACGCGAAACGTTCGCACTTTCATAATATAAGCCATTGCAATAATATTATACAATGTTAAGTATAACATACATTTTATAGTACTTTAAAATCTTAGCACCGTTCACTTTGCAGAGTCCGTCTTCAGAGCGATAGTCACAGTTACAACCGTTTATTCTCGACCAAGTGGTGTCATAATATTATTGTTTTTAGTTAATTGCTCTTTTTATCCGTTTACGGCTGTTGTGCTCTTATGGCATTCTTTGCATTTTGCTCTTCCCTTTTTACATCCGCAATTTTCAGTTATTTCCACAACAACAGCTGTTTCTATTCTTTGGCGTTGATCGGTTGGTTTGATTTGTGTTGAACTTTGAGTGTTGAGTGGATTATGGAAAAGTAAGAGCTAACACAAGTTGTGACCAACCCTGATCGTATCCTCTTTCAGCTAGTACTTAAAGTATGTACATTATAGCTTTTACAATGATTTCCATTGGGTTTTTTGTTGTGCTCCTACTATCAGCTACAGAATCTCACAGGAGCGTTTATTTAAAAGCGATTTCATCGCATTCAGTTATACCTAGTAATCATTTATGTAGACCTGACATATCCCCCTGCCCCTATACGTCCCAACCCCGCTAAACTGGATTTTTTTTTTCTCAGGTTAAACGCTGTGTTGAGGATCGGTCGTCTGCGGTGAACGGTCGCCTTGACGCCAACGACTCGGATAAAAACATAACTCTGTGGGAACAGCAAAAGAGCGACGTGATAAAGTTGGACTCGAGGGACGATCCGGTATGGCAGAGGATAGTAGACGTTGTTCAGGCCAACAGGATCTACTACCGTTGCCTGACAAGCATAGCGGACGCGGGAAAGTTCCAGAAAGTCGGCGACGTGGCCAAGTACGCCAGTTCGGTGCTAGAGAGCTTGGGGCAGGTGGTTTGCGAGGAAGGGGATTGGACGCAAGACTGGGTGGACGGTTGTTGTGCAGGACAAGTTAGCGACGGTCAATCAAAGGGCGGACTCACGCTGGAGAAAAGGCCGTCTTACGGTGCTAATTCCTACAGAATAGAGTATGCCGAAGACGAATTGAAAAACATCAGAAACACCGTGAAAAAGCTGGAAATCCGGGTGGCGGTGCTGCAGAGGGACAAGAGAGACTTGCTGAACATACTCGAGGGGTACGAGACCGAAAACGCGAACAAACTGTCATTGGGAAAACGTCTCAAGGCCGAACAGAGCAAGAACGACGAGCTCCGTGCAATGATATCGTCGGTTTACGACGAGAAAATCCGTTCCTTGAAACATGGCTGGTCATTGTATTGAAATCTTACCAAAAATATGTCATCGTTGCACGTTTTTTTATGGTCTAGTGATTATAATATCAATGGAACTGTTTGTTATATCCCTATAAAATGTAATATAAAAAGTTACTATATAGGAATAATATAGTTCCGTTAACAAGAAAATAACGATTCTAATACTATGATACTATGTAATTAAAAATGTAATTATTACATTTTTTGTAAGTATATCAAAATTATTATTAACTTTCTTAAACTAGAATAATACTGTAAATACACAAACACTTGTTCAGCATAAAGGTATTATACTATTGCATAATATTGCCTATACGTCACGATGTACGTTGGATTAGGGTTTATTATATTATTATTGTTAGGATATCCATACTCGCAATACTATCATACCGAGTTATTTATTTACCCTTCTAGCAATTTAACTTCTAATCGACACTATTTGTGTTTATCGCGCCGTAACGCCTTTGGAATCACGGTGCCAGATGGTCGGACCCAATTAAAAACATTTCAAAGCTCTCTCTGATCGTTTGCCACATCAAGTCTAAATAAAACATTCGATTCCGTATCATTAACGCCACCGTTTCTCGATTATAATACATATTATATTCAAATATATATATATAGTTTTTTTTTTGCGTCCAATTCGACGAGCAGGTTTTTATTGTTGTACGATACGCGACCACCCTCAGCGTATAATATTATTATACACACGACTCTGTGCGGATAACATTATACAATATATTATTATGAAGGGAAATTAGATTTATTTTTAAGTCAACACAAGGGACCAGTATTGTTTGATAATGGTCCGCTGGGGGATATTCTTTTATAACCGCAGTAAAACACCCTAAAGTGTTGACATAATGCCCCGGGACGGGAACTGCCCGAGGGGGGGGGGGGTGGCGAGAGGGAAGGGATAGACGTCGACTTACTGTAATCGGAGGACGTGGTGGAAACAGGGAGTGGTGCGCATGCATGATAGACCGCTTTTTAAACTGGCGTATAATAATATAATATATAAATGCGGATGCGAATGTTGTCGAACAAGTGTTTGGAGAAATCCTTTCGGTTGGCGGGGGTGGGGGGGTTACACGGTTCCCATATTGGAAAGGGATATAGGCTACATGCCGAGGAGAGATTTAATGTGGACCGTGAAATTAACGTTTGGCCGTCGACCGCGGGGTCGATCGTTAGACAATAAGTTTAAGTATATAGATCTATACGTCATATCGTATACATTGGGCTGCCGATTCTGAAGCAATCCGGCTCAAGTAATCCAAACAATGAACACCGTTGCGATACGCCGATAACTGCAACAATGAAAAGATAATTATAACGTTACAGTATAACCGGGGACCATTGCGAGCGCCGAAGTTCATAGCGATAGGGGTAGAAGCCGCATAGAAGGACCGTGAGAGGGTTATTATAAAATAAACGCTAAAGTATTTAACGATAAAAATGAATGAATTTCTGCACGTGACTTCGAGGTTTTTCAACCACACACCGCACTCTTCACGATTGTCTGGAACCATCAATATAAAACAAATAAATTGTTCATACACTTCATGACCTAGCAGAGAGTAAAAAGTGGCCACAGTTTGGTATAAACAGTTTGTTGGTATATTGAGGTAGTTACATGAATATGAATTTGAAAGCGATTAAAACACAGTCAACCGCGCAATCCGTACACAAATAATTAGAAGGCCAGCTCTCAATTTCATTGGAATAAATATAAGTTATGATTAAAATTGTCTAACTTAGTTTGTCTATAAAAAAAAAAATACCTGTCTTACGCGTTTCACCAATGGAAGAATGTCGTCATACTGAGCAGAGATGAACGGTTATGA